TTTTTTAAAAAAAGCTAAAGTGGATAAAGAGAAATACTTTTAACTGATGGTATATGGAGGGGATTATAATCAATGTAATGAAACAAGTTATATGAAGTATTGAATGTGAAACTGATGATGTGCCCTGTAAACTTTCACTCAATCCACAATAAAAACCTTAAATTAAAAAACAAACAAACAAAGGGAATTGAGTACGTAGCAGACAAAACCACAGGTACCCAGGAGAGGCATTACTGTCAGCATCCCTGCGAAGTGGCCTCACCCCTTACCACCAGAGGGTGCATCCAAGGCTGGAGAAGTCCAGCAGCAGCCTGCAGGGCCATCCTGGAAAGAAGACACATTACTAGTTCCATTGCCTTTGCCTCCCTGCACTTACGTTTTCCTTTTGGAGTTAGGATTCCTGGGAGCTTCCCCCAGTGAGTGGTGAATGAGCATGTTTCCCTAAGAGGTCCATTCTCAGGCAGGGGGTAAGATGAGTGGGTGACAGATGCTCACCTGATGTGCCTCCTAGTTGTCCCCACTAATCTTAAGAGCAGCCTATTAACCCCTAAACACAGACAAGATGAGGCAAGATCAGCAGAACCAAACCCACAGTGGACTGCAAAAGCACAAATGTGCTTAGCAGAGACCAGAAGAAATGTTCAATTTCTACAGACTCAGGAACAGTAATTGTTTTAAGGCACTGAATTTTGGTTGCTACATAACCAACCGATACAGGAGACTTGAAGAACACCCACGCTGCCTCCAACTCAAAGGTGAATGGGAGACCATCAGATTTGGGCAAGGCAAAAGGGGAAGAGTCCCAGAAGAGGCTGAAAGCGTCATAACTGCTCAGACTGCTTAAGAACTCTACAACAGCCAAGGAAGTCCCAGATGACCAATGCTGAGCAAGAGAAATTTAATGGGAGAAATAACTTTCAGGTTGAATTTCAAGTATGTTCATTTTCAGAATTTAATTTTCTCTAAGAAAGTACAGGATATTTCAGTGGCATGTTATTTGGGCTGTTTTGATACCAACCAGTTCAAGATTTTGGGAGCTCAGTCTGAACATCTAGCTCCACGAGGATGAATGCAGGAGTTTGTCTGAGGTTGGGGGTGGGGAGGTAGGGGGGCTCCTGAGCAGAAGAGCGAGAAGCACACAGCTTCCTCCCAAGGGAACCATGCCACCCCTTGATAACCACAGGTTCAGTTTAAGATGCAGTGGGTTGAGATGCAAACACTGCTCCACTCTCTGGTTTCACCAGCTAGGTCATTCTTTCCTGATATAGGCAGATACAGCCAAGCTGTCAGTAGGGCCAACTCTGACCCCTGTCGTCAGGCCCACCAGTGCAGGGCTCCATCCCCACCTCAAGGACAGGCTTTCCCTCTCAGCATCTTGAGCTGGCTTAGTGGGAACTCAGGACAGCTTCAGCTCAGTTTGCAGACCCAGAAGGAGCCCTTACACAAAACTGGATACTGATAAATACATTTTCTTGGCTGAGAGGCAGCAGCTTCTGACCTATACCAGTCCAGGCAGTAGGTGGAAACCTGGTCTGAAAAGGTGGTCAAAGATACTTGGGGACCAGGAGCCAGTTGAGAAGCAGAGTCAAAGCTGCTGGAGTTCTGTTCCTCCCCAGGCCTCCCAAACCATGGACCCTGTCCCACCTCCCAAACAAGCTGTAGGAGGCAGAGTAAAAAGCAGGAAGCTTTTAATACAAGAGGGCGGGGCATGGCCTGGGAAGGGTTCACAAAAAGCAAGTCAGGAGCCAGCAGCAGGGGACACAGGAACCCTACGGAGGGGGATGACACAGAGAGAGTTCCGAGCCTCTTTGATCCTCCACCATCGGCCGAGCCTGCAGGGGCAAGAGGAGCACTGAGGTGCAGCCCAGTCCCAGCCACCTCCCGGCCTGGGCACCACCTCCACTCCCACCCAGACACCCAACCAGGACCACCTTGCCCCTTGCCTTCGAGGAGAACCACCCACCTGTGCTCCTGTCCCACCCCAGCCACCAGGAAGTCCCCAGTGCTGGAGAATTTGAGGCTGTTGATAAAACCTATCTGAGGAGAGGAAGGAACATAGGGAAGGAGGTGAGAAGGGTCTCCTATGCCCCCACCCCCAGCACCACAGTCAGTCCCTGCTCTGCCTCCTGCCATCTGGTTCCCCACCCAGAGCTTGACCCCCGGAAGCCTCCACCTTCGTTCTTATAAGGATTAATGAGATAGTGTGTGCCAGCTGTGGCAAAGGTGTAGCCTGGGGTCTGGAGCATCCAGGACTACCACTGACCTAGACCCTGCCCTCTCAATAGGTTTCCAATGACTAAGTCAGCACCCTCCCCCAGTAACCCCAGTTCAGACACAGTCAAGTCTACCCTGGTCCCAGTCATGCACAACCAATCACAGTGTCACATCCCCATGCCTTTGCCAGGCCGTGCTGGGCACCCAGCACCTAAGACAAGGAATGGGGAAGAAAAGAGAAAAACTAGGGAGGTAAGACCCTGTACTAGGTGCTGGGCATACAGAAAGGTCACAGCTGGTTGACCCTGAGAAGGCTCCCCACCTGCCCGGAAGGGATGGTAAAGAGCTAATTCCAGGGCCCTGGACCTTAGGAATGTGACAAGGATAGGCTGAGCACTCATGGCCCACTCACCAGAGGGATGTCAAACAGATGGTCCAGCTTCCGAAAGCCTTCTCCACACTGCCAGAGCCGCACACAGGAGCTGTGGGAGCCTGGGAACAGGGGACAGTGAGAACCACCAGCCTGCCCTGCCACCCCTCCTCCCTGCTATTCAAGGCACCCACCTGTAGCCACGAGGTCCGTGTTGAGCAAGGCTGCCACTGAGGACACCCAGAAGGGCTGCTCTAGGCCCAGTTCCCCACGTAGCCCATGGGCCTCACGCTGCAGAGCAAGCGGCCGTTTCTTGGAGAGGCCCCACAAGGCCACGGAGCTGTGGACAGAGCACAGAGATAAGGCCTGGGAAATAGGCAGAAGGTGCAACCCTACACTTTTAAAGTCTCAGAGTCCTCAGTGTATGAAAAGGGATTAAACCAGCTCCCAGGCAGGGCTGCCAAGGGACCCAGATGAGGAGGGCAGGCAGCAAGAATCCAGGAGCAGCGAAAAGAGACAGCAGAAAAGCAGTTCTTACCCATCATCTGCGCCCGACACCATGTGCTCCTCATTGATGAGCTGCACACAGTCGATGGAGCCCCTGGAAAAAGGGGCTGTGAGGGAGTGCCCAATCCCATCCCTAGCCCACAGGTGAACCTGGCACACAGGTCACCTTACTGGTGTCCGTAGAAAACAAGCTGGGACTCCTCAGGGATCTTCCACACCCTCACGGTTCCATCCCGACCACCAGCTGTCACGCAGCACTCCCGGCTCAGTGCATCTAGTGCAGCCACAGCATCCTGGTGCCCGAAGCTGAGGACAAGTCACACAGGTAGGATCAGGGCTACGCTTGGACACACACACACAAACACCTTCTTCCTGAGCACACTTACAGTGTCTCTACATAGGAGTTCTCCGCCACATTCCACACTTTCACAGAACGGTCATGGGATGTGCTGTAGAGCTGGTGGGTGCCTTTGCGGAATGCCAGTCCCTGAGGGTGGATGGAGAGAGGGCTAGAGCTTAGGACAAAAGGGGACCCAGACTACAGGCAAGACTGAGGTCAGATGAGGGGGAACTTCCTATAAAGTAAGCCATGTGACAAGGAAGCCAGTCACCCCTGCCCCAAGAGCTCAGTGGTGCACTTCTGTGAGGACCTATCTGGAGCCAGGGCCACATCCTCAGCCATGTCTCTCCAGCTGTAGACTTCAGAGAGAGACCCTGTGGACCTCTGCACAAATTGGACTCGGTCTGCCCCAGTTCTTCCCTACCCACCCCCTCCATTTACTTCCTTTATGGTTCCACTCACACCAGGGTGCAAAGTTCCCAAAGGCTGGGGGCCGTTCCACCTCATTCCCCTGATCCTCAGTGCCTGGCACCGAGCCTGCCCCACCAAATAGGTGCTCACTAGCTATCTACTATGAGAAACCCAGGTTCTCACCGACACAGCGTCCCGGTGTCCTGTGAAAGTACACAGGTGCCGACAGCTCTCAGCTTCCCAAATGAGGATGAGCTTGCTGCGGTCACCCGAGGCCTGTGGAGACAAAAACCACTGCCACAAGGCACCCAGCAGGCACCCAGAAGCCTATCCACCCACCCCAGGCACGGCCCTGCCTTACAAGGTACTTGCCGTCAGAGGAGATAGCCATGCACAGGATGTGGCTACTGTGACCTGGTGGCTGTCCCTCAGCACCCTTCTTGGCTCGAGGGATCACGTGTAACCTCCGTCCGCTCTCCATGCTCCCTGCCACCAGGGGAGGGGACAGACTTGTGTAATAGGGCAGGGGCTGCCCACAACCTCCCTTAATGGACAGCATGGGACCACAGAGAAGTTCTGGGCTTGGATCAGAAGACCTGGCTCAACCACTGGGAACCTCTAGGAAGTCACCTCAGCTTCCTTATCTCTTACATGGAGGCAATAACCCCACAGGGCAGCCATGAGCCCAAAGAAGAGAAAGGACGTAGAAGTGCCTGGGATCACTGTGGTGAGGGAGGAAAGTGTCAGGAGGCTGCCAAGACTATGTTGTTGTTGTTGTTGTTGTTAAGTGCCGTCGAGTCGATTCTGACCCATAGCGACCATGTGTAGGGTTTCCAAGGAGCAGCTGGTGAGCTAGAACTGCCAACCTTGCAGTTCAAACGGCTTTGCAGTCAGTCTGGTGCATTAACCCACAGCACCACACCAGGACTATATAGACCCTCAAATGTTCTCCAGTCCCCCAACCCACCTGCAGCATCAACCCCCAATAAACCATCCTCCTGCCTCTGCCCATTCCTCTCAGGGCAGGAAGCTCATGATGGCAGTGCCAGCCAGAGCCTCTACTGCCAGCCAGCGAGCACCTCATTCTCTGGAAGCACGCCTGCTTTCAGAGGCTTCCCCTACCAGGGTGCTCTGCCTCTTCCCCACCCCCACTCAGAGAGCCACTCACACTTAATGATTGTGCAGTCCTTGGCGGCTGAAAACACAGCTGAGTCATCAGGGGTGATGACCAAACAGGTGATGGAGAGCTGGTGGCCCCGTAAGACCCGAATGTCGGCCAGAGTTGGGGCCTGGATCTGGGCAGGAAGGGACATGGTTACCATGGTCACGGGGGTATAAAGGCACCACCCATACCATCCTTTCCCAACCAGTCCAGCCAAAAGCAAAACTGGCCCCACACCTGGCCCTGACTGCCAAAGCAAAGACTTCCTAAGCCCTCAACTGGGCTATCTGCCTAGCAACCCAGGTTGGGCCCTCCGGCTCCCTCTGATCTTATTCCCAAGTGTCCTGCCCACTCACCTCCTTTGCCACCGACTTCTGCAGCCTGCCCCTCTGCTCGAGCTGCATAGAAGAGAGAGGCATGAGACCCAGGAGCAAGACCAGCCCCAACCCTCCCACCACTCTCCCTCCATACTTACCACATCCTCCTTCAGGCGCCCTGCCACCTGGTCTTCCTCAAATGCACGGACCTCAGCCTTTTCCTCCTCTATCCAGGATAGATCAGACTAAGTAAGCAGAAGCTAAGACACCATCTTCTCCTTCCTATCCCCACCCCACCAAACTCTTGTGCTGGGCCCAAAACTCTGGCTGCTTCAGGCAAAGGGGAGAGAAAGCGAGATGGGCTCCTGTCTTTGCTTATCAGACAATCTGAAGCCTTCCCACAGACCTGTCCCAATCCAGGAAGTCCATTAGAGCTCACTGGGTACCTGTATCCATCACCCATCAGTGGCTGGGGATGCAGCAGCGGGCAGCAGGCTGGCTCAGGCACAGACCCTGCCTCATGGGCTCACCTTGCTGCTTCAGCTGCTCAAGGTAGAGCTTGGCCAAGCGTAGCTTCTTCTCCTGTGCAGTCTCCTCAAGCTCCTCTGCCTCCTCCTCAGTCTTCCTCAGAGTCATGCTGTGGGCAAGAGGTAGCTGGGTCTGAGGGGCTCAACCCCCACCTCTGGTCTCTAAGCCCATACCCAGCCGCTTGGGGCCCAACTCCCAAACCCTGCCAGCCCTCTGAGGCCATAATCACATGTGCAGAAAACTGAAAGGCACATGTTATCAAACTAGAAGGGCCCATCAAGTGGCCAGCATAAGGGTGAAAACAGACCCAACCCCCGAGGAATCACTGTGAAACCACTCAACTTTGGGGGGAAAGAGAAGACGCTACACGCTCCCAAAGAACACTAAGGGCATGTACAAAAGATCAGCAATCAAAATGATTTCAGACATCTTTATGACATTACTGAGATAAAGACCAAGGAGTCATACCCTCTGAAGGAAAATGCAAGGAATATCGTTCCCAAGTATAACATCAATGATAAATGAAAATAGTCACATGTGCAAAGAACCACAGAATTCGTCATTGCCCCTCTTTCAAGAATGGAAGACATGCTCCCCAAACAAGAGGGTAAATAAAAACGAGGAAGGAATGAGGTACAGGAGATCCAACATGAAGAAGAGAGAAGACATATCCCAGGACAACAATGGGTCACAGACATAGGAGACAGTTATCTTGGCTGAGATCAAAGAACTCAATAGGCAGTGATACTAGGGCTGCCATCATCACCACCTGCCACAGCACCATCCTTTACCGGAGGACAAAGTGCCCGTGCCAGATGAACCGTAGCTGCCTTTGGCTTGGTCTGACCTTGTTTTGTCGAAGTTCCTGCTTTTCCTTCCATGGCCCACTCCCTGGACCAGTTGAGGGAATTCACTCCAAAACCAGTTCTACTTTAACCTGCTCCCAGCAACAGGAGGTAGGTCATGGGAGCAAAGCAATGCCGGATTACCCAATAAGCAAAGTAAGCACAGGCTTCCTGTCAAGTCACAGGCTTCCTGTCAATTCCAACTCATAGCAACCATATATTGGGTTTCCAAAGAGTGGAGCTCTGGTAGCATAGTGGTTACAAATCAGGCTGCTAACCTCAAGGTCAGCAGTTTGAAACTACCAGCTGTTCCGTGGGAGAAAGAGGAGGCTTTCTGCTCCTGTAAAGATTTACAACCTCAGGTGGGTTTGAGCCACCAACCCTATGGTTAACACTCAGTGCTTATGCTATAGCACCACACCATGCCAAAGCATAAGGAAAATAAATTAGGCACCAGGATCCCCTGTTGCTGTGTACTAGCCTCCATCCCACAAAATCAGTCCTGACACTCCTACCTATTTGAAATCCTGCCTGTCACCTGCAGAATGAGGAAGGTGTTACAAGCCCTCCACAATATGTATACACCACCAGCCCCTGAGTCTTCTCCTACCCTCCATTGCTGAACACTTACACTCCAGACTTCTCTTTGATCCCTGAATGCTTTCCGTGCCACTTCATGGCAGCAGCCTTCTCATCTCTCCAAGATCTATTTAAATGTTCCCAGTCCGTCGTTCCCCCACCTCCGTGTAGCCCACTATGGCCCACTCTTTCTTTCATTACCTGTCTGCTCATCTCTGTACTTTCAGCAGTAAGGTCTGTTTCTGGCACATTGAAAGGGAGGCAGGCAAGTAATTGTGAAAGCATGAGAAAGCACAATGATGCACAAGCGAGCATTTCTCGCATCCCTCTTCCCTTGTCAGTCAGTCCACCTCTGTACTCAGCTCCCAGAAGGCAGGAACGTCTCAGGGTCTCCCACTGGAGGCAGGCAACCTCCCCACATGGAAACCCCAAAAGGCAGAAAATGAGACTCCTCAGGGCGAGAAACTGAAGGCATGAACCTCAAGCTAAGAGCCAAGAACCAGAGTTCTGGGTCCTAGGACCAGCTACACCCCAATTGAGTATGTCCATATACTGTGGAGCTCAGCTTTTTAACTGCTTACCTCTCGTTATCAGAATCGCTGGAGATCTCCTCATTCATTTTGACACCACCCTTGGCTTTACCCCTGGCACCGGCAGAATCGGTCTGAAAATTAAATAACCCTTTGTTAGGTCAGGGGTTCCAATCACCCCGACACTAACCAAAGGCCCATTCTGATCCCTCGAGAGTCCAAGGGCTGGGCGAAGCGGTGACTCCTGGCTTAAGCAGAAGGATTTCTAAGTCTAGACCCACATGGAGGTAGACAAAGCTGACTCCAACTGAGGTCCCGGGAGAGGAGTTACGAAGAGGAGCCAGTACATTGGGAAGACCCTGGTACCAGCAGTAAGACTAACACTGACTGCGGAACCGCCAAGCTCACCTTCCGCCGCCGCTTGCTGGCTGCTACGGCTTCCCCGGCCCCCGAGACCGGTTTTCCCCGCTTGCGAGTCACTGAAGTCGCAGACATACTGCCCTCAGTATCTGTAGCAGCCGCAGCCGGAGAACTCACGTGGCGACTAAACCCCAGAGGTCCCTCAAGACTTCGCACCCTGATAGGTTTCCATAGTTCGTAGGGTCCTGCCTCCTACAGCTTCATTGGGCCCTTGATCAGGACCTGTCACGCCCCCAAGCGTCCATAGGACAGAATAGCCTCCTAGAGCTCCGATAGGCTCCCACACCAGGCTCCAATAAGAAGCAAGAATCTCGCTTCCGGCCCTATCTAAGGCGCATGCGCTTTGCCGCCGACTGCCATCCAAAGGAAAGTAGTTAGACCAGGAAGAATTAGACGGAAAACATCTTCTCTGTGATGGCCATCCTTGCTCGCTGGGGGGCGACAGAGCTACGGGGTTGAAGATTTCGAAGCGAGACTCCGCCCATTCAGGGGTGGGGGCAAGGGGTAAACAGGCCTCGCAAGGAGTGAACCTACTTGACGCTAGATAATGGACGAGATCCAAGTAGCCCTTGGGAACAGAGGGGCGGTGCTTGGACCCAAGATCTCAGAGCAACCCGCAAACACGTGTCACATGCCCCATGTCATCCAAGCAGCGCTAAGAGCGCGCCAGTCCCTGGGGCTTTGGCCTTACCCAGATCAAGTACCCGCGAGGCAGGCCCGCCCACCTCTGCCAGCCCCAGCCTCTCTGACTCAGCCCATCCAGTGACCACATAGTTGGGATTCTATCCCACACTCAACTCTAGCCTGCCTCTGACGACTACTGGGAAGTCTCTTCCTAAGTCACGCCTGAGGCTCACAGAAGGGGACTAGAGGAAGCCATAGACCTGGGACTGCCGCAGGAGGTGCTCACAGGGATCCTAATACCAGGCCTGGTGGCAGTCACCTCTTAGGTGAGTGCCCTGTGAACTTGCCCAAAGCCCTCCTCAGGGCAGGGCCAGGAAGTTCCGGGGTGGGGTGGGGCTGGAACCTGGCCTTCTGGGAGTCGACAGGTCTGGGACCCGTGCTAACACCCCAGAACTATTGAGAGGCAGATCTGGCCTCTGGAGCCCAGCCTACTTGTCCACTGCCCTCTCCTTTTCTCTTCTCCCCTTCTCGTGCCCCTCCCCCCACAGCTTTGGTGACTCAGCCCTGGGTTCTCTGGCAAGAGAGGAACCCAGAAGTGGGAGTGGGGAGAGTCTCCTTTCACTTTCCCTACCATATCAGGACAACCATGGCTCCAAAGCGGAAGGCCCTGGCAAAGAGTGATGGCCCTCAGAAGAAGAAGGGGCAGCAGGGGGCAAAGGAAGACGACAGCTTTCGCTCCGCAGCTGAGGCCCTCAGAGCTGCACCCATAGAAAAGCATAGAATCCGCGTGGATCCCGTGTGCCCACTCAGCCACAGGCATGGAACCCAGGTGAACCTGCAGACCCCAGTCAGACCTGGGCATACCCAGGCCTGCCCCCTGCCCTGCTGAGGGCTCAGCTCTGGCCAAGTAGCTCAAGGCTCCCAAGTAGGCTGCAGAGAACAGCCAATTTCTCTCAAAACCCGTAAGGTCAGAGTTGTAGGTTATGTTTACCACTCAGACCCCAAGACAGGCTCCTAGGCTTCTCAGACCTTCCCCGCCACCACACTTAAATCAGGGCTCTGTCTCCTTTAGTCTCTCTAGGACTCACTCACGTCCTCTCAAACCAACTTCATAGGGTAGGGTCCTCTCAAACCAACTCCACAGAGTAGGGCCACATACCTCTTGGATCTCTCCCAAGGCAAAGGCATGTCCCTAGGGCACAGCCATGTCCTCCCAGAACCCCATGCAAGGGCATGACAAGGGTTTTTCCAGGTTCCCTCAGACTGCATCCCCTAGGGCAAGACCATGGTACCCTCAAGTCTTCCAAGAAGTCCCCCTCTGACTCTCTGCAGTCTGACTTCCATCCCCATCAGATCCTTCTCAGTGTAAATCCAATCTATGGGCAGCCCTCACCAGCCTGTCCTCCCACCACATCCACTCCAGGTGCATGAAGACTACAACTGCACCCTGAACCAGACCAACATCGGAAACAACAATAACAAGTTCTACATCATCCAGCTACTGGAAGATGGCCACAGCTTTACCTGCTGGAACCGCTGGGGCCGTGTGGTTAGTGCCACCCAGCCCCCTTGTGCCTACCTTCCCCACATCTCCTCCCACTCAGCATCCATTCCCTACCCCCTAGGGTCCACACAGTTTCCTTAGGTCAAAAGCCACAGCTGCTATCTGCCCCCTACCACCCGCCCCCTGCCACCCTCCCCGCTGGCCCAACACAAAGACTAATACATTTTTGTAGAGGGCATTGTAGTGGGCCACTCCTGAAAGCTATCAGTTGCAGGGTGAGGCGGGCCAGTCAAAGCTCAGCCACTTCCCATCACTGGAGGCAGCAAAGAAGGACTTTGAGAAGAAGTTTCGGGACAAGACCAAGAACAGCTGGTCTGAGCGAGACCACTTTGTGGCCCACCCTGGCAAGTACACACTTATTGAGGTACAGGGAGACGACGAGACCCAGGAAGCCGTGGTGAAGGTAAAATGGTCAGAGAAAGTGGATTGGGTGGCCAGGGCTGAGGGAGGAGACTTTACAGGGAGATCCAGCTACTGTAGCTCTGTCTTGGCCCAGCTGTGCAACCTTAGACATACACCTCCAGTCTGACCTGGGTGTCTGGCCATCTCTCTAATGCTGGTCCCAGCTCCAGATGCAGGTGTCCTCTGTTGCTAGGTAGATGGAGGCTCGGTAGTCCAGCAAATACAGCCCTGTTCCCTGGACCCAGCTACACAGAAACTCATCACCAACATCTTTAGCAAGGACATGTTCAAGAACGCCATGACCCTCATGAACCTAGGTGAGCTGCCAGACAGAGTGGCCGGAGCCCTAGGGAATCAGAGCAGCTGGTCTGAAGCTTCACATTCTCGCTGCCCCCAGATGTGAAGAAGATGCCCTTGGGAAAGCTGAGCAAACAACAGATTGCACGGGGCTTTGAGGCCTTGGAGGCCCTGGAGGTGGCCCTGAAAGCCCCTACAGAGGGTGGTCCCAGCCTGGAAGAGCTGTCCTCCCATTTCTACACTGTCATCCCCCACAACTTCGGCCGTTCCCGGCCACTGCCCATCAGTTCTCCCGAGCTGCTGCAGGCCAAGAAGGATATGCTGCTGGTAAGGGCTGGTGGGGACTGGACACAGGAGACAAGGGACAGATGACAAGAAGGTCCAGCTGGATGGACTATGTTGGGCAGGGAAAAGGACAGGGGAGGGGAAGGCCAGCCAGATAGATGGTATGGGGACAGCAGGCAGAGAGGTAGAGTGGCTGTGGTGCCAGTCATGTGGCTGGGCATCAGGTGGGCAAACAGGCTGCCAGTGCCTGCCATCTTAGGTGTTGGCGGACATTGAGCTGGCCCAGACCCTGCAAAAAACCCCTGAGGAGGAGAAGAAGGTGGAGGAGGTGCCACACCCACTGGACCGAGACTATAAACTCCTCAAGTGCCAGCTTGAGCTTCTGGACTCAGCAGTGCCTGAGTACAAGGTAGGCTGGACTAGGCTGGGCCCCAGAGATGAGCCGGCTGGTAGTAGGCACCAGCCTTCAGCTCACTGCTCCTGAGATGCTTGCTTTCTCTCCCCGTGTCTCTAGGCCCAAGGAGACTAAAGCGCACTAATCCACACAGCCCCCGCCCTGGGCACCCAGCCTCCCTTCTCCCCACAGGTGATTCAGACCTACTTAGAACAGACTGGCAGTAACTACCGGCGCCCTTCTCTTCAACATGTTTGGAAAGTGAACCGAGAAGGAGAAGTAAGGGAGAGTCTCCCAATCCCCTATCTCCACCCTGCTCCTGGGGAGATAACTCAAATTTATCTGCATCTAAACCATCTGGCTTAGCAGCTCGGGCTCTCATGCACATGTGAGAGTGTGTTAGTGACCAGAGGGGCTCTGGCTTCAGCATGCCATCGGCAGCAGAGAGAGGGACCCAAGTCCTTGGATGGGATGACTCTCCATTCCCACCCTACCTCTCAACCCAGGGAGACAGGTTCCAGACCCACTCCAAGCTGGGGAATCGGCGGTTGCTGTGGCACGGCACCAACGTGGCTGTGGTGGCTGCCATCCTCACCAGTGGGCTCCGCATCATGCCACACTCTGGTGGCCGCGTTGGCAAGGGCATCTACTTCGCCTCAGAGAACAGCAAGTCAGCCGGCTATGGTAAGATACTCCTCTGGGCCAGGTTCTGGCCCAGGAATGGAGGCTCTAAGGTGGACTCGACCCAGTGCTTGCTCCCTGGGAGCTCATGGCATCCAGTTGCTGTTGAGTTGCAATTGCCTTCGAGTCAGTTGCAACTCTTGGTGATGCCATATATGCAGAGTAGAACTGTGCTCCACAGAGTTTTCAAGTCTGTGACCTGTTGGAAGCAGATGACCAAACAGTCTTCCAAGGTGCCTCTGGGTAGATTAAAACTGCCATTCTTTTGGCTAGGAGTCAAGTTTTTAGCTGTTTGTACCACCCAGGAACTCTTGTATGTGGGAGTGGGCCAATTAAATTAATATTGACCAGAGCTCTCAGTGGGGCATGCCTGGGGCCACTCTGAGTAGTTAGGAATTGCTTCCTGGAGGAGGTGATGGAGATGGGATGAGATGAGAAAACCAACTAGACCTGGGAGGAGTACAGAATTAAGGAGAGGTAAAGAGTAAGGCGATGGGCACAGAGACTGAGAAGTCAGGATCTCTGAGGAGTCCCTGCTACTGAGGTTTAGAGCTAATGCCTGGCAGGAGCAGAGGGCTGTGGTCAGGGAGGATCAACAGGACCTTATCCAGAGAATGAGAGGGAGTACAGTTGGACTTGTGAGGAGCAGGCATTCAGTGGCTTTTGCTGCTATGAGGAGGGTGGCAGGATGGAATAGCAGAGCCAGGAAGCAGCAGGTGATTGTGCTCACACCCCAGCCAGGGGCAGAGGTCCGGAGAAGGAAATTCACGAGAGGAGAGGAGTGCTGTGTGGAAGGTGGGCTGGGCAGCCTGTGGGAAGGGGCCACAGGTGTCGCTAGTGAGCTCCAAGTGTCTGACTCGGAGTATCCTCACAGAAGTGATTCCCCCAAACTGGCTTCTCAGCCTAGGCTGACCCCATCCTGGAAACTACTACTAGCCACCCACTCAAGACAGCAAGTTACAGGGATTCCCCCATGCTCTGGGATGTCAAAGGTTGTCCAAATTCCAGGGATCCATCTGGAGGCAGAGGAGAAAGAGTGTAAGGAAGAGGGGCCAGGATAGCCCGCTCTGGTGTCTCAGGGTAGGGCATAAGGCAGCAGAGTAGGCCTGGTGTGGTCACTGGGGGGCCATTGCTGACCTGGATGAGAGCCAGTGGACTGAGGCCTGGCTACAGGGAACGGAGTGATGGAGAGACAAGGAAGGAGCATGGCCAGCGCATGGGTTGTCTCAAAAGATGGAGGTAGAGCAAGCATTTTCTGGGATGGCAGAGGAACCCAGGGAGTCAGGCAGGAGGGCCCAATTGCCCACCCTTAACCTTCCCTGTGTCCCCAGTTACTGGCATGCACTGCGGGGCCCACCACATCGGCTACATGTTCCTGGGTGAGGTGGCACTGGGTCAAGAGTATCACATCACCATTGACGAGCCCAGCTTAAACCAGCCACCCCCTGGCTTCGACAGTGTCATCGCCCGAGGCCGCACAGAGCCTGGTGAGTCCTAGATAAATGGATAAACCTGAGGAAAGCACAGAGATCAGGGATCCAAGTATTTTCAGAGAGGAGGCGAGCAGGGAAGGGACAGTGAAGAAGCAGGTTTCCTTGTTGCTGTCAGTCACCAAGTCTTTCAACTAACATTCACTGAGGGGCATCCAGGAAGGCTTCAGAGAAGAGGTGTCATTGAGTGTTGAGGGTGAATAGGTGTTTTCCATGCAGAACAGTGGAGGAGTAGATTCCAGGCAGAGGCTTGCAGGTGGGTGAGGTAGGAGTGAGAAGGCATTCCTTGTGGCAGTGTAGGGAGTATGACTGACCCAGGATCTGTCCGTTGCTGGTAAGGCCAAGGACCAATGACCTGTAGGTTACCCACAGTCATTGCTGTGCTCTACAGATCCAACTCAAGACACAGAGCTGGAGTTGGATGGGCACCAAGTGATGGTGCCCCAGGGCCAGCCGGTGCCCTGCCCCAGCTTCAGCAGCTCCAACTTCTCCCAGAGTGAGTACCTCATTTACCAAGAAAGCCAGTGCCGCCTGCGATACCTACTGGAGATTCACCTCTGAGCTGCCTGCTCTGCATGGGGTACTACTGGGTGGTAAATCATAATCTTCAATCTCTCTGCCCATCTTGGCTGCCCCCATATCACCCCTTCTTACCAGGACCTGGCTCCTGTATCCCAGACAGTGACCACTTACCCTCATATCGCTGTTATGCCAGGCATGACTGTGGCCCCAGAATCTCCTCTCCTAAACTGATGGCTGAGACTGGAGACTTGGAGTTATGACTTCAGTGCAGAAGCAGTAGTCTGTACAAGGCTGTGTGGTTGGAGGGGCACAGCCCGAGAGTAGATTGGCTCTCACACCCCCTGGGCTGGCCAGAGGACAGGTTAATTGTCAGCAGTGCACAGGCAGGCTTAGTAAACATCATATACTCTCACCTTCCAACTTTTGCTTGTCTGTTTTGTAGCCACACCAGGCCTGGCACTCCTATGTCTCCACAGGGACCCAACACAGAGCAGCTCCAACCCCACTCCAGGGAGCTAGCCCTTACAACGATTGATGTGGGTCATCCACCCTTGTTGTCCACACCCATCACCATAATAACCCACTTTCTCTAGTAACAGCCTTCAGATGGGACCCTCACTATCAACTCAGAACTGTTGGTCATTTGGAGACTCCCCGTGCTGACGCATCGCTTCTTCTCATGGGCTCTTGACTTCCTGTGAGAAACATTCATTTAGCCAAGACATTGCTAGGTGAATCAGTCAGGCAGTCATCGTGCCTTGGCACAAACATCCATTAGTCTCCTGTCTCTGCACATCATAAATGGGTTGAGTATATACCGGGACAGCACAGGTTCCCAACTGTCATGAAAGGAGGTAGTGTAGGCATTCTACTGCTGGCAGGAATGCTGGTTAATACTCTAGGAGACCCTGTCCACAGAGAGGGTTCCGGTGCTGGATCCAGTCCAGGGCCACACGTTCCATCCCATTTCATTGTCATGTGTCTCTGACTGCCTTTCATCTAGAACTGCTTCTCATTTTTCCTCTCTCTCTTCTTTCTTGTCTTTCATAACTTTAACATTCTTGACACAGGTTAGTTGTTTTATAGACTATCTCTCAACTTGAGTTTGTGTGATGTCTGCTCATGGTTAGATCACATTGGGCAGGAATACTACATAGATGATGTGTCCTAGGTACACTGTGTCAGGAGGAGCATGTCCCATTCTCGGTGATGTTACTTAACTTTTATCACTTAATTAGGGTGCTGTCCACCAGGTTTCTCCACCGTAAAGTTACCATTTCTCCCCTTTGGAATTAATCCATAACCTGTAGGAAAATATTGTGAGAGTATAAATGCCCCATTCTTCATCAAACCTTCATCTATTAGCTTTAACACACATTGATGATTTTTACCTGAAATCAATAACCTGAATCAATTTTTGTTAAGGTAGTTATAAATTGCAGTTATTTAACTCCATCATTTCTTGTATAGTTCCTAATCAGTGTTCTCATTTTATCGTCAGTCTGGTTCATGAATCGTTTTAGCACACAGTATATTATTATCCATTACTGTCATTATTTATTTTGATCCCTAATTGTCCTAGAGTCAGCCTTCAAGCTGACTTCAGTGTCCCTATCACTTTGTGAGTACTTCCTGACTTTCTGGCATAACAAGATGTTCCAGGTTCATTTTGCAGAAACTTGAAATCAGCCATTGCTCTAAGGAGCCCACGGTTCTTTGGAGCAGGAAATGGTATCTAGAATTCAAGGGTAGATGTACTCCTTGCTACTGGGATGGCCCTAATTTTAAGTTATTTTATCAAAAAGAGCTAGGAAATATATGTATGTCAATAAATAAACCCACATGTATCTATGTCTCTCCAAATCCAGTCTGATCCCACAGTGCTCTTCCATCATCCCCTGCCCCCACCCAATAGTAAGAACAATAAGATCAGCATTGTGAACCACAAGGATGATGCTTCAAACCCACAAGCTGCTCCTCAGAAACCCAATATAGGGTTAACTGTACGTCAGAACCAAGTCAATGGCACTTAACAACAGCAACAACGTCATTTGCTGGACCCTACACAAAAAGAAATTCCATAATTGTTATACCCATACCATGGTGAAAAACACTTTTTAAGGAGGGCTCAAGATTTATTTTTATCTTTAGCTTGAGGGGCTAATGGTTAAGTTAACAGTTGGAGCACAGGTTCAAATGTTACTTGGATTCATTCTTTTTTCCCTTCAGTGTGGTTATGTTACTTATTTGCCATACAGGTAGGCTCCTTTGTTTCTGTTTATATTCACTTTTAAGGAAGTTGCCCCATCTTCACTGATTTATTTTTTTAATATGTAAAACATTAGCATCACTCCAGAAAGTCCAAATTCTACCAGTAGGCATATTGAGAAGACTAAGAGTGTAATCTGCTATGCTCCGCTCCCACCCATCCCTGTAGGAATATAGTTTCATTGGTTTCTCGTTTATCCTTGTACATTAAAAAAAAAAAAAAAGGTACATCACCAACTATTTCAATTTATTTGTAATTAATCAGTAATTTGTAATTAATTTTACAAACTACTAATTAATTTTGGAGGGAGCATACACTTGTCTAACCCACCATAGTTCCCATCCCTCCCTATTACATTTCCCAGCCTACCTTTCTCATTGGCTATTCCCACCTGGCCCTGCTGAGCCCTCCCTAGGTCCCGGTGGCTAAAGGACTTCCCCAGGGCCTGCAGGCCTGACTGATCAGGGATAAGAGAAATGAGAGAGACCTTCTCATTCCTTTGACCCAGGATCTCACAAAATTCAGCTTCACTTCCTAGAGACAAATTCAAATTGTGGCCAAGTGCAGAGAGAGGTGCCCATTTGGACAGAGCTCTAAGAAGCAAAGGGCCCTGGTAATACAATGGTTAAAGTACTTGGCTGCTAACCAAAAGGTTGGAGGTTTGAATCCACCATCCACTCAACAAGAGAAAGATGTGGTAATCTGCCTCCTTAAAGATACACTTGCCTTGCAAACCTGTGGAGCAGTTTGACCCAGCCCTATAGGGTCACTGTGAGTCAAAATCAATTGGACAGCAATGGTTTGAGTTGGGTTTTGGTCTAGGGTGCAAGTTACCTGGGTTCCCAGTCCATCTTAGCTGTGTATTCTGGGATACATTCTTTCCCTGGACCCATTTTGTCATGTGAATAGTGGAGAATTAGAGCAGGGCTCTTCCAATTCCAGCACAAAATGAGTGAAGTCTGGAGACTCTTGTTATGATCTCCACCATCTAGATCTGTACGAACTCTGCCCGTGTGCCTGTGATGGGTTCTGGGGCACAGGAATGAGTAAGACACAAACGAAGTTCCTCTCTCATAGAGCTTACATTCTAGTAAAACATACTTTTAACAAATACATATATAAATACAAAAGATATCAGGTAGGGAACATGCCAGAAAATGAAGCAAGGTTAAAACATGAGAAGAGAAAGTAGAACAATTTTAGAAGGTTAGGAATGGCCACTCCTGGGCAGAGACTGAATTAAATGAGAGCAGCCATGGACAGATGTGAGGAAAGGGAGTTTTAGTATACGGAACAGCAAGGGCAAAGACCCTGAGGTGGGAGCTTGTTTGGGATATGGGAAGAAAGATGACTCTTGTGTTTGGAAGTGGAAGGAAGAAGTGAGGTCAGACAGGTGAGAAGAAAGCAGATGGCAGAGTGGGCTCACAGCACAGAGGAGCTGAGATTCTGATACTGAGCCATAGCCTGATCTGATTTTTTTCTAGAAGGAGTCACTTTAGCTGCTGTGTGGAGTGTGGACTATAGAACATGTGTGTCAGGCAGGGTCCGGTCAGTAAAACAGAAATCACTATAGATATTCCAGACAGGAGGACTTGGATACAAAGAAGAAATTGAATCACCAAACAGGTGATGGTGAGGTAATTCAAAGATAAGCAACAGAGGAAGTAACTCTCAGCCCTATGCTGGAGGGATAAAGGAAGGAGATGCTGTTAGGATGCTCAAAAGACTGGGTACAGAAGCCTGAACCACAGAGGGTAGGTAGAGAGAGACTAATACCCAAGATGAGCATGAGAAAGAAAATACCCTGACTTTTCCCCTCTTCCCATTCTCCTGTCTTCTGCTGGTAACTAGCCCTGGCTGAAAATACCCAAAAGCCAGTTGGCAAAGGAAGTTAGGAAGTATAGTTCACTGGACGAACAAGCAGCACTGAGGAAGAGTATGGCAAACAGACAAATGACTGGCAAACGGTACAGGAATAGAGGCCAGGAGGCCAGTTTGGAAGATGCTGAGATGTTCCAGGTGAGAGGTAGTGGTGCCTGGGGGCAGGGTAGTAGCAGCGTGGGCAGGTGAGCCTGGTTAGATTCTGACCATGTTGCTGGATATGGGGCTTGGGAAAAGGAAGGAGTCAAGGTAAACAGATGAATTGTGTGCCAGCACACGAAAAAGAAAAAAAGCCTGTAATTGCCCCCTAAAGTCCCCACTCATTTGTTACATACACTTCCATGAAGCTACTACTCTGTGCCAAGTAACACCGGCTGAGCGCCTCCTATGTGCCTTCTCCCTCCCTTCCTCTCTGTTGAGAGCCAGCCCTGCTGAGGCCAAAGGGTAACTAAGGGTCTTTTTGCTCCAGCTCTTGTCTCACTGGTACTTCAGTTTTCCCTTAACTGAGTCATCTAGTTACCTCCACTGATGGGGATGGATGAGGAGAGCAGATGTCCCCATCTTTCCACCAGTAGGAAAGGCAGAGCAGGGTCTGACTTACTCCAAAACCCACACTCTAACCTCTCAGTCTAGACTCTAGGCAGTGCCTACTTAGGTCTCCTCAAGAGCCACTCCAAGGCATTTCCACAGCAGAGCCTCTGGCTTCCAGCTGACAGCTGCTAGGACCCAGGGGGTCAGTGTCAGGCCCTATCCCTCCCTCCCCAGCTCTGGGTGTAAGTAAAGGGCAACATCAGAGTGACAGCCAGTACCATCTCCAGCAGGGGCCAAGTTGCTGGTGCTGGGCTGAGCAGGGGAGAAAACCTGCAGACCCAGCCTTGTACCTCTCTATGGGGCCTACCAAGTCCCTGAAAGGTCGGCAGCCTTGGCGACGGAGCCAGCACCTGGGCAGTCTACAAGGTGAGGGGCCAGAGAAGCAGAGTGGGAGATTAGAATCCCAGAACCAGGCTGGGGGAAGGGGGGAGGGGGCGCTCCATTTCACTCTTTGCATCCCGGCACAGGCTGAAGCCTGAAAGCGCTTGCATGGCCAACACAACGGGGCTCAATACCACAGAAGTCATAGGCTCCGTTGGGCTGGTCCTGGCGGCCTTCTTGGAGGCGGTGACATTGCTGGGCAACGGTGCTTTGCTGTCTGTGGTGCTGCGTACGCCCGGACTGTGTGACGCGTTCTACTTGACACACCTGTGTGTGGTGGACCTGCTGGCAGCCGCCTCCATCATGCCGCTAGGCCTGCTGGCTGCACCACCGCTGGGACTGGGCAGCGTGCACCTGGGCCAAGCTCCGTGCCGCGCTGTTCGCTTCCTTTCCGCGGCACTGCTGCCCGCGTGCACGCTCAGCGTGGCAGCCCTTGGCCTGGCGCGCTATCGCCTCATAGTACACCCGCTGAGGCCGGGGGCACAGACGTCGCCTGCGCTCGTGCTTGCCGTAGTGTGGGCTTCGGCTGGACTGCTAGGCGCGCTTTCTTTGCTCGGGCCGCCGCCCGCACCGCCCCCTGCTCCAGCGCGCTGTTCAGTCCTAGCCGGTGGTCTCGGGCCCTTCCGGCCACTCTGGGCGCTGCTGGCCTTTGCACTGCCTGCCCTTCTGTTGCTTGGCGCCTACGGCAGCATATTCCTTGTGGCCCGCCGCGCTGCCCTGCGACCCCCGCGTCCCTCGCGAGGCTCCCGTCTGCGGTCTGACTCTCTAGACAGCCGTCTCTCCATCCTGCCCCCCCTCCGGCCTCGTCTGCCAGGGGGCAAGGCGGCCCTGGCCCCAGCACTGACCGTGGGCCAGTTTGCAGCCTGCTGGCTGCCCTATGGCTGCGCATGCCTGGCGCCCCCGACGCAGGCAGCATCAGCGGAGGCGGCAGTCACCTGGGTGGCCTATTCTGCTTTCGCAGCTCACCCCTTCTTGTACGGACTGCTTCAGCGCCCTGTGCGCCGAGCTATGGGTCGCCTAGCCCACCGTGTACTGTCTCGAACCCCACGGACCTGTGCTCTGCAAGCCTGGCACCCGCGAACACTCCAGCAGCTCAACCAGGCACACCCTGAGAGCCCTGCCCTAGGCCCTTCTGAGGTTCCAGAACAGGTCCCCGAGGCAGAAGGGAGCTTGAATATGCCACAGGCCACCTGAGAGATCTTTCTCCCAGAGGAAGGATGGCAGCATTAGAGGCGTTCACCCAGCACCCTGCATGGTCTGCCTGGACTTTTGGCTCTGGTATAGGATGAGAAAATGTGCTTGTAGCCTGATGAGGCTGAGGCTTCTGGGAGCCAGGACTTCTGGGATCTAGACCCAACTAAAGGAGTCCTGGTGTGGCGCTGTGGGTTAATGCACTGGACTGCAAAATTGGTTTGAACTGCAAAGTCAGTGATTCAAGCTCACTAGTTGCTCCTTGGACACCCTATACAGGGTCATTATGGGTCAGAACCGACTTGACAGTACTTAACAACAGACCCAACCAAACTCTCTATGACCTTGTACATAGAACTTATCCTTTCTTATGCCTGTTTTCCCATCTGTATCCTGGACGTCTTTTCAGTTTAGGTGGTTTGTGACATTCATATAAGTTTCCCAGGTTGTAGCAGGAGAGGAGGTGAGCAACATCATAAACCAGGACAAGGGAAAATAAGGGAACCCACAGCCAAAGGGATGGGCCAAGCAGGGCAAGGCCTGGGTTACAGCCATAGCAGGAGGAACCATGGAGAGACACTACAGAGGAATTCCCTGACATCTGCAGAGAGGAGAGGCTGGACAAAGCAATTGAAATTCCTCCATCAACTTCTAAGATGCCCAGGAAACAACCAAATGAATTTGGTAGTATAGCCAGAAGCCTAAACAACTTGAACTCAAAGGGTCCAGAAGCCCCAGGATTGGTGTATGGAAAGGGCTGAGACCCATCTAGGGCTGATGGATTCACACATGGGAGTCATCTGGGGCCTCAGCTGCACCCAATCTTTCTTTGTCACCCCCAAACCCTTCCCCACAGTGTTTCACAGTTCCTGGTCGCTGAGAATATTTATTCAAAAACAGGGATTGAAAAAACTGTACAGTGTCAGCTGCTGAGAACTCGGCCTGTCCCCACGCCACCTCCCACCCAGCTAACTGGCAGTGCCTCCCCTTTGGGTTCCCCCCTGCCAAGCCCAGCCAGTCCATTCCAGTCACAAGGGTATCAGTGGAAGCAGCAGGAATCTGCAGGGATGGGGGAAGAGAAGCATGGCCCCAGCACCCCCAAACCTTTTTGATCCCCACAGAGGGGCAGTAAGTGGAGAAGCCCTTAGGGGGTGGGAGTGCATGAGTGAACACCCCCAAAGTAAGAGCATTAAGGGAGGCCCCTGGCTGCTCCCTGCATCCAAGCACAGAGCTGAGGGGATGGGGCTCCCTGCCTTGGTGTTGCGGAAGCTCCCAGTACCCTGGGCCAGAAACTGCCCCCATTCAGAGACAAAGAGCTCCTGTAGACTACAGCAGGGTGGAGAGTGCATCCATGCGTCTGGGCTTTAGCGGCGTTGGGGGCCCCAGGTGGAGTCTCCTTGGACAGGTAGGGTGCAGAGGCAGCCCCTGCCTGGTGGTCCTGCCTGCCCCTGCCTGTGTCTCAGCTGGCCTCAGTAGGGGGAGAATTTCTGCCGCTCGGCTTTCTTGCTTCCATTGGCCGCTGCCATCTTGGCAGTGTAGGCTGCCAGGCCCGGCGGTGGCCCTGGGGAAGCAGGTGGCAGAGCCAAGAAGGGCACTGGCTTGAGGCCGATGAAGTTGGAGAGGGAGATGGCATAGGGTGTGCCCAGCAGGCCTGGGGGAGCCGTGGGTAGGGCCGTCAAGGGTGGTGAGAAGGGGGTGGGCAGGTCTGCGGGGGCCGAGCCGGGTGTCCCCCCAGAGGTAGACTTGGCCGTCTCTAAACTGGAAAGAGGGACATAGAGGGAGATGAAAGGGAAGATGGGGGGTAAGAGAGGTGGCAAGGAGGGCAAATATTTGGGGCAAGCTTAGAGGCAGGATAGGAGAGAGGAACTGCAGGGAGAACAGTGGCATGGGGTAGTTGTATTTGGGGGAAGCAGAGAAAGGCAGAAGGGAGAGGATGGAAAGGAAGAACAAGCAAATGGAGTGGGGGAGGCAATGACCCAGGAATACAGAGAAGAGGACATGTGGGAAGAATGTAGAGGGGAAGGTGGGCAACATAGGGTAGGTAAGTTAGACAGAGACCTGGGGAGGTGGGATAGGGTTGGGTTAGGAGAAGCAGGGAACAGACCCAGACAGACAGAAGTATGTCAATTCTTTTCCACCCATGAGGCCCTGTGACCTGTAACCCCCGCCCCAGCTCACCAGGCAGTAATGAGGTACTGAGCCAGGGCGATAGAGACTGGTGAACCAGTAATGGTCACGTGCCGCTCACCGGCGCCTTCCGCCTGGTTCCCAATCTTGATATGTGCCCCCGACATCTGTCGGATCTCACTTATCTTGCTGCCCTGGCGCCCGATCACGCAGCCAATCAGCTGAGGGGGAGGGTGGAACTCAGGCCTGGGCAAGGTCCAGACAGACCTCCAGGCCCCCTTCCTAGCCTTGTACTGCTCCATTCTCTACTCACGTCATTGGGAACCAAGAATTCCTGCGAGCTGGTCTGTGAGTTGGTATCCAGTCCTAAGCAGAAGAAAAGACATTAGGCATAGAACTGGGCCTTCCCCAGCCTCCATCCACCCACCCACCCCCACCCTCACCCCCTGTCAGGTTACCCAGCCCTGATTCCTGCAACTGCTGCTTACCTGGCACCATGCTGGGTGAGGCAAAAGGGACTGTGTGCCCTGAGAGCTGCTGAAGCTTGGTGACCTGTGCCAAAGAAGAGTGGTAAGAAGTCAGAGGGGGCTTGGCTCAGTAAGGAGGCACCTTGGGCTGAGGGTCACTTACCTCAGCTGGGGTCACAGCCCCATACTGCCCCTGGACAGAGAAGCCCTGTGAGGTCAAACAATGTGAAAGGGGTTTATTATGATAGGTCAAGCAGCTCGGCCATAGTCACTCCTCCCACTCACTCAAGACCGCCGATTCCTTCTTGCATCCCCTTCCCCACCTCAGATCTTCCCTTCTTCCTCTAACAATGCTCCCTATTCCTCCCCTGGTGTCCACTTCACCTGGTTAGCAGAGAGAAGGACAGTGCCTAGAGAGAGGCTCGGATGATACGGGATGGTGGCTCCTTTGGGTGGGGACTGGAAGTCACAAATGAGGAGGCTCTGTCAGGACATTCCCAAGCCCCACCAACTTCCCCAAGGGCCCTCTGGCCCCAAGCCCTTCCCTTCTTTACTCCCAAGTAAATGCACTTCTACCTCTTGGAACTGCTCATCAATTCCTACAGCGCCACCCCCACCACCACCACCACTGGGTCTTCTCTGCCCCAAGCTGGGGTCACATGCATAGTGTTTGGGTGTCTGGCCAGGCAGGTTCAGGGACCAGCCCTCTTTCCCTGCCCCAGGGTGGCACCTCTAGGATAACAGCGCAGATCTGGCGCACACACAGGATGATGGCATCAGGCACCCCAGACACGGTGACAGCACGCTCGGTGGAGTTGGGGAGCAAGTCTCCCGCCACTTGCACCTGGGCACCTGTGGTCTGAGGGCAGAAAACAGGAATCACTCTAGATGTTCTCATAGCATAGAGAAAGGCTGGCCAGGCTCCAAGGGCCCCCAAACCAAACCCCTAGTTGGCCAGTCGATTCCAACTTAGAGTGAACTAACAGGGCAGAGTAAAACTGCCCACAGGATTTCCAAAGCCGTCCTGGTGTGGTGCTGTGGGCTAATGAGTCAGACTGCAAAGTCGTTTGAACTGCAATGTCGGTGGTTCAAGCTCACCAGTTGCTCCTTGGAAACCCTATTCAGGGTTGCTCTGGGTCGGAATTGACTCGATGGCAGTTAACAACAACAGCTGTTTAGCTAAATAAATGATGGGTTCGAACCACTGGCCTTTTGCTTAGCAGTTGAGCACTTGACCACGACCTCACCAGGGCTCCTTCCAAGAGGCCCAGGGAGCCGGAAGCCATAGCTCAGGTCTCCTCCCTCTGCTGGACAGTGAGGACTCCCTGTGGGTGGTATCCCTTTGCCCTCACCTCCCGGATCTCCTTGATCTTGGTGCCAGCTTTCCCGATCAGAGAGCCACACTGGCTGGCAGGGATGACAAGGCGGAGGGTCACTGGAGGCCTGGATATGTTCCCACCATTTGCCGGAGTCCCGCAGAGGTCCTGGGGCAGGAAAATGGTTTGTAGGCTATGCACATGCACAGAGAGTCCCAGCCACACCTGCTGCCCCTAGAGCACTTTCCTGCTAATAGGTTCTGGAAGAACTCTTCCTTCAGTCCCGCTGTTGCACCTCCATTCCGTAGCTACTATATGGAGTTGAGGTCTCACTGTTTCCCCATGAACCATTCACAGTCCCCAACCAGCCACAAACCTCATCCAGCTTGAAGGCGATCATTGACACTGCATGGAAGACAGCAGCTGTGGACCCTGTGATGGTGGTGATGCGCTCGGGGCAGGAGCCCTCAGAGATGGTAATCCGGGCACTGCTCTGAGGGTACAGAACGTATTCCAGGCAGCAAAGGAACCCTCTCCACTCCCTCACCAGGAATGTGTCTGCCCACCCACTTACTGGGTCCCAGTCAAGGGAATAGGTCACAGCAATGCAGTAGTATGGAAGCAAGGAAAAGTGGGGAGAAGGTGGGACAAAAATGTCCCCTTCTCTTCATACCTAGTGCCCTGGGCTCCTCCCCCAAACTCCATCCTCACCTGTTCCCGAATTCGTTTTACAGTCTCTCCCTTCTGTGGATGACAAGGGAGAGAAAACTGAGCAGTCAGTGCCTCCTTCCCTGGGCTGAGGCCTCAGGTTAGGGGGCATGCAGAGGGTAGAGCCAGTACCTACCTTCCCGATTATGCTGCCCACCTCCTGCAGATAAGATAAGAGTGAAGTCAGAGGAACCAATAAACCAGACCCTGCCCTTCCCACATAAGAGGCAGTGGCTCTGCTGGAGACAGGGTGCAGGAGGTCAAACTCAAGCTGGCCTGCCTCACCTCCACACTGTGCCTGCTCCACTACCCCCGCCCATGGTGGTGCCCCCACCCTCACCTTGCCATGCATCAGCATCCGCAGAGTGAGGGTGATGCTGAGCTC